CTTCCTGGCTGCCCTGGCATGTGGTCATACACATGGTACAAAGTCTGGATAGCCTTCCTGGCTGCCCTGGTGTGTGGTCATACTCATGGTACAATGTCTGGAAAACCTGGCTGGCTGCCCTGGTGTGTGGTCATACTCATTGTACAAAGTCTGGATAGCCTGCTTCAGAGTTTGGTGGATTTCTCTGCACTATGCAGACTTGACCTTAATCCCAACATACTAATGAGATAACACAGGCAAATTGGTGAAAAATCTTTAAAGCCTCCACTCTTCTCTCACTTAATGGAAAGCCTCTCGTGCTGGAAATGGAAGTAAATTGAAGAATTGAGACAAGACAACCTTCACAAAATGACCTTAGCTTCTATGGAGATTGTCAAACATCAGGGATCTTTTCTTGTTAGATGGCTTTCTGTTTGTAAGATTCCTTACATTTGAATATTTCTGAGTGCATTATTAAACTACAAACAATTGTCACATTGAATCCCTGGGACTACAGTCTCCATATATTGAGTGGATTGAGTCTCCTGGTGGTGAATGTTTTTTAGGGACACAGTGGATTGAGTCTCCTGATGATGAATGTTTGGCCACAGTGGATTGAGTTTCCTGATGATGAATATTTGGCCACACTGGATTGAGTCTCCTGATGATGAATGTTTGGCCTCAGTGGATTGAGTCTCCTGATGATGAATGTTTGGCCACAATGGATTGAGTCTCCTGATGATGAATGTTTGGCCACACTAGATTGAGACTCCTGATGATGAATGTTTGGCCACAGTGGATTGAGTCTCCTGATGATGAATGTTTGGCCACACTGGATTGAGTCTCCTTATGATGAATGTTTGGCCACAGTGGATTGAGTCTCCGGATGATGAATGTTTGGCCACACTGGATTGAGTCTCCTGATGATGAATGTTTGGCCTCAGTGGATTGAGTCTCCGGATGATGAATGTTTGGCCACACTGGATTGAGACTCCTGATGATGAATGTTTGGCCTCAGTGGATTGAGTTTCCTGATGATGAATGTTTGGCCACAATGGATTGAGTCTCCGGATGATGAATGTTTGGCCACAGTGGATTGAGTCTCCGGATGATGAATGTTTGGCCACAGTGGATTGAGTCTCCTGATGATGAATGTTTGGCCTCAGTGGATTGAGTCTCCTGATGATGACTGTTTGGCCTCAGTGGATTGAGTTTCCTGATGATTAATGTTTGGCCTCAGTGGATTGAGTTTCCTGATGATTAATGTTTGGCCACACTGGATTGAGTCTCCTGATGATAAATGTTTAATTAGGGATATTATGAATTGAGTCCCCTCATGATCAATTTGACCAAATTAATGGCTGGCAAACTCAGTCATCCAATGTTGAGTAGAACTATTGAGCTTCAACAAAGCCAGGGTCACAATGTTAAGTGCAGCCAAGGGTTAGTTAAGGGTTACTAGATTACGAATACTTAAGTTGAATAAATATCCTGAGGGGTAGTAGATTTAACCTCCCAGTCCTTTGTTGTGTACAGTTAAATCCTTGTTTGTGTTGTTAGCATTAGGCCCAAACCAGTGATGTGTGACTAATTTTCACAGCCCCAGTTATGATCCACATCATCTCACATGGGCAGCATAGCCAGCACCCTGACACTCAATGTCAAGCCATACAAGGTTGGTTGGTTTGTTGTTTAATGCCGCACTCAGCAATATTCCAGCTATATGACGGCGGTCTGTAAATGATTGAGTCTGGACCAGACAATCCAGTGATTGATTTCATGAGCACGGATCCACGCAATTGGGATCGATGACATGTATCAACCAAGTCAGCAAGCCTGACTACCCGATCCCATTAGTTGCCTCTTACGACAAGAATAGTCGCCTTTTACAGCTAGCATGGGTTGCTGAAGACCTATTCTCTCCCAAATCTTCATGGGTAAGCCATACAGGTGCTTGCTTATGTTGATTAGTGGGCACTTGACTATCATCACCATTACTCCTTGAACTTAGCGACTGCTTCCGTGGTGTACTTGATAGAGCATTTGCCCGGAGAGCGGAACGTCGTGGGATCGATCCCCGGCTGCATCATACCAAAATATGTTAAAAGATGGTACTTGTTGTTACCCTGCGTGGCGCTCGGCATTAAGGGGCTAAAACAAGGACCAGTCGGCTCAGAGTCAGTATATTGTGTCTAAGTGGGATATTCATGTTTAACTGCAGCATGGTATCTCAGTGCACCATAAAATTGGCGTTAGTCCGGACTAGTACAAGCAGCTACTCACGCACACAGAAACACAGAGACACACACCTCACCTTGAAGTGGTCATTCCAGATCAGGGCTAGTGGACTGAGCTAGTTGTTGAAGCATTTGCTTGCCATGGCCAGGTTCAATTTCCTACATGGGTTAACTTTGTGTGAAGATCATTTCTCACTCACTCACTACCTCACACATAAACTCAAACTCATAATAGTGGTGTAATGATAAGGCAATACACATTTTGTATCGTGATACATGATACAATACACTGATTGTTATCTGGCACTGATGTTTCATATTTACATCAATTCAAATACTGATTGCTTTGTCCAAAAATACCAGTTTAATAATAATGGTTCATTTTGATATGGTGAGAAGAGATTTAGCATTTAAACTTCATGAAAACCAAGATGTTCTCAAAGGCATGGATCCAATAATCAACGGTTGCCGGGGAGACGGTGGGGCTGGTGGTCACAGCCAGAAGTGTCATGCGTGATAATGGTTGGGGTGCTAATTACATTGATTTTATGAAATCTGATTATGATCCTTCAGCAGGAGACATTCTGGTTGATAACAGATCTCTGCTGGCGAGCACCTGGAAACCTCGACTCTCAACAGTATTGTCAATAACTCACACAGTTTGTCATGGAGATGGATGTATTTTCATAAATAATTGCTGCGTTAGCGGGCAGGTATAGCTGCCGTAGCCAGACTGACTGTTAATAAACTGAATGGGTGGAGTGTGAAAGAACACACTTTGTTGTCACGGCAATGACAAATATATTTTATTTAATTGAATGGTCTGGCCGGGGGCTATTTGCATGGAGCAATTGTTGCTAAATTCGCCTTGATTGGCAGGAAGTGTTGTAAGTTATTGACACTCAGAAATTAATGGTACTGTCAGGTTGAACATATAACAGGTTTTAAGGACAAGAGGCTGTTGAAATGTGACAATAAAACAATCAAATATGATCTGTGTCTAGTAAAAATAAGGAAAAACATTACTGGCCAAATAATAAATGCATGAAGGAATAAATAAAACTTTAGACAGGCAGGAATGAAGAAACAGGGATGCAATCATGATATGAATCCGACGGTCACAGCTGCTTTTTCTTGCCCTTGTCATAGTTCTAGGGGCTTGGTGGCCTAGTCGATTTAGTCGCCTCAATTCGCTGTGCAAAGTTGCGTCCCTCGCGCAGAAACCTGTGATCGTGAATTCAAACCCTAGTTCGCTCTGAATATGTTTCTCATTTTGTCAGAACTGTACCTGTGCTTTTGGGTTTCACCAAAGTTGTAAACGTCTGAGACCTGCATCGCTTGGGCTTTCCTCCCATAATATGATGATGCAAGCCTTGATATAACTGGAATGCTGTTCAAAGCGTTGTTGAACAAAACTCACTCACTCACTCATTATTCTACTGTCACATTATGACTGTTAAACACACACAGTAAAGGAGGTATCCATACACTTGTGTTATAACATGGAATATTATTTTAAGGTCATTGAGAGGGCAGAAGTTTACAACTCTGATTTTCTGACATTTGCATGGTCACATATGTAAATTGTGTTAGCAGACATGGCATGTTGAAGTAGCTGATGGTGGAGCACTCAGCCTCCTGTCACACGACTTATTGGAGCTACTTATTAGGTTTGGGTCCAGTTGTCCATCACTGCACAAAGTGAGGCCTTCCATGGAGATTGGGTGGCCATGCACTAAGTCAGGCCTTAAATTCCATGGAGATCGGGTGGCCATGCACTAGGTCAGGCCTTCCATGGAGATCGGGTGGCCATGCATAAAGTCAGGTCTCACATGGAGATCGGGTGGCCATGCATAAAGTCAGGCCTTAAATTCCATGGAGATCGGGTGGCCATGCACTAAGTCAGGCCTTCCATGGAGATCGGGTGGCCATGCATTAAGTCAGGCCTTAAATTCCATGGAGATCGGGTGGCCATGCACTAAGTCAGGTCTCACATGGAGATCGAGTGGCCATGCATAAAGTCAGGCCTTAAATTCCATGGAGATCGGGTGGCCATGCACTAAGTCAGGCCTTAAATTCCATGGAGATCGGGTGGCCATGCACTAAGTCAGGTCTCACATGGAGATCGAGTGGCCATGCATAAAGTCAGGCCTTAAATTCCATGGAGATTGGGTGGCCATGCACTAAGTCAGGCCTTCCATGGAGATCGGGTGGCCATGCATAAAGTCAGGCCTTAAATTCCATGGAGATCGGGTGGCCATGCACTAAGTCAGGTCTCACATGGAGATCGAGTGGCCATGCATAAAGTCAGGCCTTAAATTCCATGGAGATTGGGTGGCCATGCACTAAGTCAGGCCTTCCATGGAGATCGGGTGGCCATGCATAAAGTCAGGCCTTAAATTCAATGGAGATCGGGTGGCCATGCACTAAGTCAAGTCTTACATGGGGATCGGGTGGCCATTATGGCTACATTGACAGTATTTCAGACATTTTGTCACAAAAATGAATTACATGTTTATGACAAATAAGAACTTGATGTATACCTGATATACTGTTGTAGCAGCGTTAATTCTAACTCACTCACTCATGCCAGCAAGGTTACACATTTTCTCGTTTACACCACTGTCTAGCACTGAAGCTGGAGCTCTACACGCTCGGTCATCTTCCTCACAGGCACACAAATAAATAACTTCTGGTAAGAGACTGCGTGATGATATTGCCATAAAGTAGAAGCACATGCTGTTGCAGTGATGACAATGACAGGTGTACTTTTCTCCCTTCCAGGTGGAGAGCTCTTGCCCGACGTGGAGGCCGCCATCAAGGCATGCTGGGAACCGCTCATCGGCAGCGACTTCGAAGTGGTTGTAAGTGCACACTTTTCCAGGCTTATCTCGTCACATATAACTAAGGTGCTCTTCCTTACTTGTTTATCCTGCACTGGAGTTCAAATACTTCTGACATAAGCTTCAGGCAAAGTTTATGAACCCTCATGTGTCTAAAAAAAAGTGCTATGACTCTTTTACCCCATACTTTTTATCATGGATATGAGAGTCATATCACAAGGATTGCTTTGAGAAAAGAGACCATGGTTCCAAAACGTAAGAAAGATTTTTGATACAATTGTACAATTCACAAGATATTTACATATCACGACAGACCAGTATGCTTCTTGATTTTACATTCACAAGACAGATTTACTTTTCTTAAATCGGAGGAACATCACCCCTCTAGGAGTGGTCAGGGAGGAACAGTGAGGTAACTTAGAGGGTTGGGATTTAGCTGGAAACTTGGAACACCTTCGATGTTTGTTTCATGTACAATGTGTGAAGCGTATCCTAGGTTTCTCTGCTGTGATATGGCTGTAATATTGATTAAGGATTTGAAGAACCATATCCTCACTCACTCAATGAGGAGGATAACATGCTGGCTTGACCTTGATTGTCAACTGATGATCACTGAGGAAGAGATAGTTCTGTTTCGGAAACGCCTTGGACTGAAATTGGAAATGTCTTAGTAGAAAGAACGGAATTTTCTTATCATTGATTCGTCACAGACAGGGTAGTCTCAAGTTTCATTTATCTCTTCCTTAGGTTAACTTTGGAAATGGAACCCTGTTTGCCAGACTCTTTTCAGGAAATATCTGTAGATCTTTAATCAGGACTGTATTATCGTACCATTGGCGCTTCCATTTATTTTACCCATTATGAAAAGGTTTGATCAGTATAAGAGCCAAACGGCGAGGGAAGTTACAAACAGATTGCTACCACAACTCCCAAAGAGAAACAGAATTCTTTCAAGCTCCACCATGGATTTTCCGTTAATTTGGAATTTTGCATTTTACAGTCTCAACTGAATTGCTTGGCCAAACTGCTTCAATGTACCTCTCAATACTACATGATCGAACCATTGAAACATGTACATTTCAAGATGCTAGCTGATTGCATCATTTAACCAAACTCAAACACACCAGCGGCCATGTTTTCATCATATTCTTTGACTTGTTTACCCTGGACAATTATTGACAACATCGAAGACTGAATTGGAGAGAGTTCATTCATCTACAACAAAGACGCACCCTTCCATTAGGCTGAACTGTTTACATAACACATATTGTGCTCCCCCTAGGATTAAAGTTAAAGATACCCACCTCCAGCTCAGTTTATTATGCGCTGAATATTACTTGCTGAGAGATCAATTTCTGCAAATGATTTGATAAGCAGATCAATATCTGTCGGTCATAAAAACGTCAGTTCATCGACAGCAAAGATAATTCTAAGGCCATGTTTGCCCTCTCCAAGAGGAGATGACATTGCGATAGGATAATTTATCGACAACGTACCGCTTGTGTCATCGCGGTTCCATGTTCATGTGTAATGTCGTCTTCTTCGTGCGGTAATCATATACATTACATCTCCTTGAAAGACGCAGCCCGTCATGTCCTTTTTGATTCACAGCTAATCGATGTGTTAAAAAATTGGGAAGATGGTGTAAATTGCTATCATTATTGGACAGTCAAACTCTGATGACTTGGCGGACGGGTACCTACACAGCTCTGATCAATATCTTCCTTATTTTGTTGAGAGACAGTTTTGTTCTTCTTCAGGATCTGTTGCTTTGAATAACACACAGTGCTTCACACTGATTTGAATGTTTCAAACATGATTTGATATTTTGAAGTAGGATTAGCTGCTTACTTGTGTTGGTTTTTCTCTCGAATGTATGACATATGGTTACTCCTGCGTTATGTTTTACCTTTTTTGGTCATGATTTTTCAACATAAAAGTGATACATGGAGATATGTTTTTGTGTAATATTAATGAAAAGAGCAAGGACCTATGTGTGTCAGTTCTTTTTATATAGGCAAATGTATTGATTTTTACAAGGTTTTGATAAAAAACCTTGTCCCAAAGTGAGAAAAAAGTAAAACAAACAGGTAGCGAACTGAGAGATCACAAGTTGCCTTGCAGTGTTTACATTCATAGATGTGCTTTGATCCAACTGTCATGGGTTTGAATCCGAGATATGCCATGATTATGTTCAAGGGTTTGTCAGTACCCATGTTCTTTGGTTTGACAAAAATGGAATCTCATTGAAGTCTGTTTTTTATTCTGATGAGATATCTCTCTGACTGAAGATCCATAGTAGGTCTCGTCAGGTTAACTTTCTAATCAGCGTTGAAGCTTTTAAATTTTTGGGATGAGTAAGCCAGGCATTCAAACAAGCATTTCTGTATCTTAAAAAACTGTAATTGGGGAGTGGAAGAAAATTGAGACCCGTTTGTACATTGTTGTGGAAACTTTATACATCCTGTAGTTTCTCAGTTCCATGACATGACACCCAAAAGGAGGAATTATCAAGGTTATTTTTGTGTTCTGTTGCATTTGCCAAGATTAAAATTTCGAAATCAAAGTGTTAAGCAAATAAAGCCAAATTATTTTAGATGCTGAGGCCTGATAAGGCCCCAAAACCCACGCATCCTTCATATAGATTTATCAGTCACAGTTTGCTAAGGGTTCACCTGTTGCGACCTTCTATGGAGGTATTCACAGATCTTCACACAGAGGTATTGTATTGCGTAAAAGATCTGATTTTATTTATATTGGCCAAATGTTTGCTTGTGCCAGAAACTTGTGTTAAGATTGCGTGTGACCCTACAGGTTGCCCAGCAACAGGTACACTGAGCAGAGTTGCAACCTTCAGACTTACCCAGAAACTTGTGTTAGGATATTGCGTGTGACTGTACCGATCGCCCAGCAACTGGTTCATCGAAAACAGAGTTGTGTCCCTTAGACATACCAGAAACTAGTGTTAGGATTGTGTGTGACTCTACAGGTCGCCCAGCAACAGGGTCACCCAGCAGAGTTGTGTCCCTTAGACATGCCAGAAACTTGTGTTAAGAATGCTTGTGACTCTGCAGGTCGCCCAGCTGTCCAAGTTCAAGGAAGGAGGTGGTCTGGGCATCAGTCTGGAGGGGACTGTCGACGTGGAAAACGGTGTGGAGGTTCGACCACATCACTACATTCGCTCAATTCTGCCGGACGGCCCCGTTGGTCTGAACGGCCACCTCATCAGCGCGGACGAACTACTGGAGGTAAGCACTACCCAGGTTCAGGTTACATACACATACAGTACAGGAGAAATCACTTGGCTTGGGTTATGGCATGACATGAGCATAGTTGTACAAGCATGGAATCCTCAGTAGGATATTGAAACATAGACAGCTAAGGCTGTATACTTCCCAGGGAACTGAGAATGTAATTCCAGCGCACACTGAACCTTTGAAAGGGGTAATGATGTTACTGTTTTTAGCATGCCCTTGTGTGTGGAATCTGGTAAATACGTCTTCTTTGTTTTCTCCTTCTTCTCCTTCTTCTCCTCCTTCTTCTCCTCCTTCTTCTCCTTCTCCTTCTCTTCCTTCTTCTCCTCCTTCTCTTCCTCTTTCTCCTTCTCTTCCTTTCCTTCTCCTCCTTTCCTCTCCTCCTCCCCTTCTCTTCGTCTCCTCCTTCTCTTCCTCTCCTCCTCTCTTTCTCCTCCTCTTCCTCTCCTCCTCCTTCTCCTCCTCCTCCTCCTCCTTATCATTTCTTGGTTCAATTACTCTGAGTGATTACAACTTGCCGTTTTTCAGAGACAACTGAAAGACTGTCTCATGATGGAAACAGGATTGGTAGTTAAATGCCAAGTATTATTAACTACTTTTATTTCATAGTCCGTTAGTTCCATTAACAATTTGGTTCCTCTAACAATTTGATTTCAATGGTTACAGGTTAACGGTAAACGGCTGCTAGGTTTGAATCATGTGGAGGTGGTCAACATTCTCAAGGATTTGCCTCAACATGTCCGCCTCGTGTGCGCCAGACGCAAGTCTCAAACCACTGAAACCTATGCACATAAGGACGCCCAATTTCTCAGCAGTGTGTTCAACACAGGGGTCCATACAAACTTTCCAGCAAGTGAACGATTGGTCAAAGCCAAGTCGGAAATGGCGCTGTCGTCAACAGATACTGCTGTTCTAAATTCGCTCAACAAAAGCAAGTCTCGTTCACTGGAGCCGCTGACAAATCTGGCAATGTGGAGCAGCGAGCCAGTTGTCATTGAACTCCTGAAGGAAGATAAGGGACTGGGATTTAGTATTCTAGATTACCAGGTAGGCCTTGGTTGTGTTAGACAGTGGTATGCTGCTTCTTCCATTGCATCAGATGTCATTGTGTTAGACGGTGGTATGCTACTTCCAATACAACAGACACAGTGGTAGGGTAGTTCCCATACAATCGGTGTCATTGTGTTGGACAGTGGTATGCTGGTTCCCATACAACTGATGTCATTGTGTTAGATATTGGTATGCTAGTTCCCATACAACTGATGTCATTGTGTTAGATATTGGTATGCTGGTTCCCATACAACTGATGTCATTGTGTTAGATATTGGTATGCTAGTTCCCATACAACTGATGTCATTGTGTTGGACAGTGGTATGCTACTTCCAATTCTATTTCCAATGCTAGTTCCCAGTGTGGATATCAGAAAGAAAGATCTGTCTTGTTCAAACAATAGCCAAGCGTACAATTAGACATTAAAATATACTGTTTGTACATTATATTTGCATTCCATGTGTATATATACAGATTTAATTTTTTTATGGGTTAACCAGTTGCAATTCTGATGTCAAGAGTTGTGTCCCTTTGGCATGGGTTTCGAGATGTCAGATTCCAGATTCCAATTGATTATGTTTATAGGTCTGTTAGCACTAATCACTTTCACCAGAGTGGTAAACGCCTAAGACTTTCACTTCCGACTTTCAGGGCAGTGGGGTAGCCTAGTGATTAAAGCGCCGTAGACCCAGGTTGGACTCCCCACATTGGTACAATGTGTGAAGCCCATTTCTAGTGTCCCCCCCACCATGATATTGCTGGAATACTGCTAAAAGCGGCGTAAAACAATACTCACTCACTCACTCACTTTTGGCTTTCCTCCTTCATCAAGCCGACACACCATGATATTAATGCAATACTGTTATAAGCAACATTAAACCAAACTCTTGGTATCAGCTCTTTCTCTTGTGTAAGTGTGTGTAATAAACTTGAGTTTGTATGCTCCTCAGGACCCTGTGAATCCTAACGAGACGGTCATAGTGATACGAAGCTTGGTGCCGAAAGGTGTTGCTCAACTAGATGGCCGACTAGTGCCAGGCGACCGCCTCATCTTTGTCAATGACATAAACGTGGAACATGCCACGTTGGATGAGGCTGTGCAGGCTCTGAAGGGTGCAGGAAAAGGCGTCGTTCGAATAGGGGTAGCAAAACCACTGCCCCTGTCCGACAACTTCAGGGCGGACAATCAGGTAATATAGGCATCTGATCATGCATTTGACCTGTCATGTGACCATTAATCCTGTCATGTGACTCATTAATCCTGTCATGTGCCGTGGAAGTTACATTTAAGTTATAATTGTTTGGAGGATGAGTATGTGTTAATTAAGTCCTGAGTTTTATGAAAGGTATAATCCAGGTAAGCCTCTGTCACTTTGAATTGATTCATGCCTTCCGTGTATTTAGAGGCTGTGGATTCAAGGATTCTCTTTCCTGAAACTCTCTTTTCAATACACTATTCAGAAAAGGTATCTTATTATTCTGCTAAAAAAACAACATTACAAACAAATACATACATGTAAGTGAAATGAGTAAAATATTAATACACTGAAGACAAATAAAATATTGAAATGTACTATGCCTATTTCAATCATATCAAGAATTGCAAGACTTGCAGAGTTACCTACCTTACTTCCCTGCCAATTTCCTGTTTCAAACAACTTAAAGGATTTTAAACATGTTCTACAAGGACCAGTGTCTAATACATGGTGTGTAAGAAAACAGGCCACTTGCATCACCGCAAAATCATTGCACATTACCTTCAATATTTCCTTCATCACAGAAGTTCACATTTCTCGATAATGTTCAATCTCATCATCACATACACGAGTGCTAATCAAAAGAAGTTAAACTTTAACTTCTTTTGAGTAGCATATATCTTTCTCTTTATCACAAGAAGCGTAACCTATCATCTGTACACACCAGTCATGCAATATCTGGTAGAATCTTTGCCTCCCATATCCTTCTGCTATCAGTGGTATCTTGATCTATGTAATGTTGAATGGTTTCTTGTGCATTTAGTGGAAAATGTTGATATTAATCAGTTTGTAAACTTGCTCAAATGAATGGTGTTCCAGTACGTTCTCATCACATTATGATTACGTATATGTCTCAAGAATTCATATGTTGTTTCATAGTGTATGGTAATCTTTTTCACAAAAAGACTGAAAATTTATGAATATCTGGTATGTAAATTTAAATGTTTCTAAAGTTATTGCGTAGTATTTTAGCAAATTTATTTTTGCAAGTTTACAAATCTCTATGCATTGTTTGGGTACTATAGCAAGCTGAGACTGGTTGCCTCAGAGCATGACTTCTGAGAATTGCTTTATTTTATTTCTGCGATTTCTATCTTTCTTATGTTTTGTTTGGTTTGGCAAATTGACAGAAAGACAAAAGGATCTAGGAGTTCCCAGTTGCTTGTCTTTGTCTCAGTTTCTATTGGCTGTCCAGAATCTGGGGTGTACAGATCTGTACACTGTCCTCACAACAGAGGAGGAATTGTTCTTGAGCAAGTAACAGTACAGTATTGGTACTTCCCATTTGTCCCAAGACTCAAACTTTCAAAAGTCAAGTCAGTATATGAAGTATTTTTAAACTTGAAGTATTTTTTTAACTTGAAGTATTTTTAAACTTGAAGTATTTTTAAACTTGAAGGGAGCTTCAGAGCCTTGATGCCTTAGTATTAGCTGAAATTTTATTTGTTTTGGAAATGACCATGGAAGCAAATTTCAAAAAATTTGGCAATCACCTAAAACAGGCTGTATAACCTGATGGTGAATACGGCTGTTATACTCTGTTGTGAGACCAAGCTTCTGGAGGCTAAGTGTATGGTTATTATCTGGTCACAATGTTATTTTCCGACTCTGCAGCCTCCATTGCTAACTGCACCCGCCCTTTCTGATCTGCCTCAATCTGCCCGGGGGACAAATTTCACCGACCAGCTGGCTGATTCCACAACAATCACAATGCTTCCCCAGGAAACAACAGTAAACAGATCCATTTCCTCTTCCTCTGGAGAAATAGGCATGAAGCTTGGGATGCAACGAAAGGACAGTTTTTACGAGAGTGACGATGAAATCAAAACACCCCGAAAATCCTCTCCCAAAAAGGCCTCCCCGATTAAGTCGTCTCCCAAAGAGCACTCCCCACCATGCTATGACCAAGCCTTAGGTAGTGTTGACACTCGAGTAAGCTATGAACACGTGGAGTCCCATGTGAAGAGACTTGAGTACGAGAGCGTGGAACCGGTTTCCAGTGATATCACTCAGGAACATTTCGAGTCTGTGAGATCGGTAAAAACTCATGAAGTTATGGCGCCATTGTCCCGTGAGGTCATGGCTCCATTGCCCTCATATGAAGAAGCTACTCTTGGTGCCGATATGGGCGTGGCCAATGCGGAACTGTTCCAGTTTAAAGATGAGGATGCCCCTCCTGTTCCGCCAAGGACAGAATCACATGGTGCTATGGATATCGCTGTTGATATAGTACCGGAGAGCCCGGACAAGCATTTTGAATTGGATTCAGATCAGGTACATATATTGTCAGAACCTGTTTTCAAAACTTACAAACTTATTTTTCAGAATTTCTGACTTGTCTACAGTTCATTGCCATTTGGGATACAGTATTACTCTGTTCATGGGTTATGGATCATATGCTTGATATGCATATAGTGTTTCACTAACCTGGATAGCTAACACACTCATCAAACAGGCAGCATACTTATTATCTGGATCTGATAGAAAATCATTGGTTATGAATGTTGAGAGGATTGTGTATTTTAAAGGGGTATGTGTTGTGAGAGTTTAAGGCTTGCTGTCCTATTTGATGAGTGGGTCAGCCTGTATGTTTCTCTCATCTGTTGCATGTTTGTCTTCAGCACCTGTCTAATGCTGCCATGCTATTCACTGACATCATTAACATAGCTTGTAGAGAATGACCCAAGTACTAAAATATTGACCAATTTAAAATTAAACATGACAACATGAAGCAAAACAAGTCCACTTAGTTGACCTGCAGACCTGAGGTCGTGACAGCTATGTGAGACCTAACTTTAATGAAGTGGCACTGCAATACGCTACTCAGAGTTGTGCCCCTTAGTCATGCCAGGAACCGATGTATGTAGATTTGGATTCCAGATTTGCCTTACTAATAATCCTTTGTCAGCATCGTACTTGTGGTCGTGTGTTTCACCAAAGTGTGACCTTCATGACTTCTGGCTTTTCTCTTTGTTAAAGTGATACAACAGAAATGTTGTTCAACGCTCATTAAACCAAGCTCATATCACGCCAGTGAGATTTGGGGAGAAACACAGAGAATGGACATGGATACCATTAACTAGTATTTGATTGTTACATTAGTCTACTGGATAGTGTGCTCACTGACCATACAGATAACCTGGGTTTGAGTCATCCCAAATGGGTACAGGGTGACCAGTTGTTCGCTGCATTGATGTACCATTGCTGATGATTGGATGAAACATTACTCATCCTTTAATCACTGAATGTGTAGAGATTGAGAAGGATGTGTTTTGTCAGAATGAAGAACAAAATGTTGATGTTGTTCAGATGTTAAAAGTGTCTGAGACTAAGTGTTAAGAACGTCTTCATTGCATTAGGCACAGATAAAGCTTGATTCAAAGTATAGATGCTGTAAGTGAATGTAATCCTGATGATACGACCCCATAAAGATCAGAGTTGAAACAGGATCGGGTGATCTGACTTGCTGACTTGGATGATGCATGTCATTGAATCTCAATTGCATAGATCCTGAAGAGGCAACTTACTGGATCAGGTGGTCAGGCTTGCTGACTTGGCTGATGCATGTCATCATATCCCAAATGGGCGGATAGATGCTCATGATGTCAATCTCTGGATTGTCTGGTCCAGACTCAATTGTTTACAGACCGCCATCATATAGCTGGAATATTGCTGAGTGAGGTGTTAAACAACAAAAAAAGCAAACCTTTAATGATAAACAATTCCAGAGATTTTACTGCAGCACATTATACAGAGTTCGTGCACAGTTGTCTCCCTTCAGTGGTTGCTGAACATTGGATTATCTGATAAATACAAGAATAGCTGACTGTTTGTGGCGGCACTGGGTTGAGAATGATTTCCCTGAATCATGTTCGGTGGGCCAGTTATTATGGGGGAATATGACAGGAGGGATTGATTTGTGCACAGTTGGTCTGACTATATCTGCTGCTTGGCACATCGTTGTTGAAATAATAATAATGCCTCATTTGGATACAGAAATAAAATAGTTGACGATGGTACTGCTACGATGATGTTAGGACCATAGCATCATGTGGTACACCTTGCAGGACTAGTAATTATGTGAATATATTCTGAAGATAATGACTGCTTTTTCTGCTCAAACCAACCTTTAGTTTCGAGGCGGTGGTTACAGTAAAGAATGTCTTGAGATATGAGTACTTAGTTTAATATGAGGAAAAAAAGATAAAAATCTAAAGTAATTGGAAAGTTCTATATTCATTCATATTTATCTCCCTCCATGAAGATCCTGGTAAGATTTGGTCTTCAGCAACCCATGAATGTAGTAAGAGGCGACTAACGGGATAAGTGGCCAGACTCGCTGACTCGATGCATGTCATTGTATCCCAATAGCGTGGATCGTTGCTCATGATGTTTATCACTGGATTGTCTTGTCCAGACTATTATTTACGGACTGTTGCCATATAGCTGGAATATGGCTGAGTGAAGCATTAAACCAAAAAAAATGAAGAGAATAAATAGAAGATTTATCTTAGAGTTGTACAGTTGTTCGGATATGACTTTCTGTTTCCATTTGTCATGATATGCTAAGCTGAAGTGTCTACATTAATGATAGTGATAGAGTTTGAATGCTGTGTATCTGTATGGAGAAACACTTTTTGTGTGTGTGCAGCAACTTGATTTGGAGGCTGAGGGATATTTGACTACTTACTGGCGATGCTAAGAGGATTATGTGGCCACACAGACCACAATCCTGGCCGTCATGCAACTCCATGCTATATCTCATGGAGGCTCTGGAATGTGACTGAAGGTTTCAGTAATCAGTGAATACAGACTGTAAAAAGGGTATTGTTTTGTTTTACATTCCATATGCAGATGAGAAAACTTATTTAACATATTGATGGATGATAGCTTAGAGAACTGAGAGACCCTGGGTGTTGTTTTGTCTGAGGAAGGAATTATCTAGGTGTTGTTTTGTCTGAGGAGAGAATTATCTGGGTGTTCTTTTGTCTGAGGAGAGAATTATCTGGGTGTTGTTTTGTCTGAGGAGGGAAGTATGTGGGTGTTGTTGTCCGAGGAGAGAATTATCTGGGTGATGTTTTGTCCGAGGAGAGAATTATCTGGGTGTTGTTTTGTCTGAGGAGAGAAGTATGTGGGTGTTGTTGTCCGAGGAGAGAATTATCTGGGTGATGTTTTGTCCGAGGAGAGAATTATCTGGGTGTTGTTTTGTCTGAGGAGAGAATTATCTGGGTGTTGTTTTGTCCGAGGAGAGAATTATCTGGATGTTGTTTTGTCAGAGGAGAGAAGTATGTGGGTGTTGTTGTCTGAGGAGAGAATTATCTGGGTGTTGTTTTGTCTGAGGAGAGAATCATCTGGGTGTTGTTTTGTCTGAGGAGAGAATTATCTGGGTGTTGTTTTGTCTGAGGAGAGAATTATCTCGGTGTTGTTTTGTCTGAGGAGAGAATCATCTGGGTGTTGTTTTGTCTGAGGAGAGAATCATCTGGGTGTTGTTTTGTCCGAGGAGAGAATTATCTAGGTGTTGTTTTGTCCAAGGAGAGAATTATCTGGGTGTTGTTTTGTCTGAGGAGAGAATCATCTCGGTGTTGTTTTGTCAGAGGAGAGAAGTATGTGGGTGTTGTTTTGTCGGAGGAGAGAACCATCTGGGTGTTGTTTTGTCAGAGGAGAGAATCATCTGGGTGTTGTTTTGTCCAAGGAGAGAAGTATTTGGGTGTTTTGTCGGAGGAGAGAATTATCTGGGTGTTGTTTTGTCTGAGGAGAGAGTCATCTCGGTGTTGTTTTGTCAGAGGAGAGAAGTATGTGGGTGTTGTTTTGTCGGAGGAGAGAATTATCTGGGTGTTGTTTTGTCTGAGGAGAGAATCATCTGGGTGTTGTTTTGTCCGAGGAGAGAATTATCTGGGTGTTGTTTTGTCTGAGGAGAGAAGTATGTGGGTGTTGTTTTGTCCGAGGAGAGAATTATCTGGGTGTTGTTTTGTCTGAGGAGAGAATCATCTGGGTGTTGTTTTGTCTGAGGAGAGAAGTATCTGGGTGTTGTTTTGTCTGAGGAGAGAATTATCTGGGTGTTGGTTTGTCTGAGGAAGGAATTATCTGGGTGTTGTTTTGGAGGAACTTACCTGAGTGGTAAGTTTTGGCTTTGGGAGGAATCCTGCAGGGTGGAAATGGGTAGGAAGTTGTTACTGTCCTTAGGAAGTTGTCTGGGTTTCAGAGGTCTGGCTCGTAATAGCTGTCCTGTATACCTTGTAACCCCAGTTTTATACATCAATGCCTGTTACTTTGCTGAGCTATTTACATTAATTGATCATCAAACTACAGCCTGCTGACACAAGACCCACTTTGAAACCTTACTGTGAACCAATTTATGAGATGACTTCAACACAAGGCTTCTCCTTATGATCAATGATGGTCCTTTTTGACCTGATGTAGACTGATCTATTTAACCAGCAGTACCTATAGAGTAGTTTTGGTATTTATTCATCTCAAGAAACATCTATCAGTGTGCTTCATGTTCTTGATGGCTTGTACATGTTTCAATTGATGAACAAATTTTGCCGACATTCAATAAATGTCTTTTCACCTCCATTGCAAAGAAGTGTTCCATTGTTTTGTAATGTATTGGATGTATTGGCGTGTAAACTTGGTAACTTTTTGAAGTTGTTTTGGGGGAAATTGTACATTTATTAGTCTGGTGTTGGGAGGGTCTCCTTCTCTATTTTTGCTCCAGGTTTTGTAGCCATTGAGGCAAAATAAGTCTTCGTTTCTCTATCCAGATTACTTGGAAGTCAATAATGTATCTGTTGTTAAGACGATGGAACAAGCTAGACGATATGAGCTGATTATCAAGAACATGATTGCTGGGTGTGGTCGTTATTGGATGTGTTTCTAGTTTGTGCCAGACGAAGAATAGCTTATGAAAACCATTTTCTGTCAGCTCAGGCACAGTACATGTGTATATTAACTTACAAGGTGGGTGAGTAGGATTTTACATCCAAGTGACATCATTCCATCAATGTCACAGTGGGGAACAGATAAATGGCTGCACATGAACTAATGTGAAAATAAAAAAACCCAACAGTTTAGCCACTAGTCCAAAGCTCAAATCTAGTTACATGTCTTCTGGTCTGTTAAGATCAGCTGATCAGTCCATAACACTAGACTAAAATCCATTGAAAATAATGCCAACATACAAGTAAACTCTACATTATTTGGCACAGGCTGAAGTAGCCAATGCTCACATGGGTGTTGTTATCTGCACCAGGGTCACCTCACATGGGTGTTGTTAGCCCAGCATCAGGGTCACCTCACATGGGTGTTGTTAGCCCAGCATCAGGGTCAAATGGTTTAAGATTGACTCGCTAAATTTCCTATTTTCCCTTCTGACCTCTATGCAGGTATGCTAGGTTGTCATGTTATGTACCCTGCTAACATCGTGTTACCTGTTGGGATGCACAAAGGTGGTGTTGTTGTTGTTGTTTTTGTTGCACATCTATTGTGTTATGTCACATGCATGTGTGGTTATTGTGGAGACCGATCGGCACCCACTGGTACAGAGGTAATTATCTACAAGGATTTTCTCAATGGAATATAATCTGTGGACACATGTGTTACATATACTAAGGAATAGCTATTGTAGTCTTCAATAAATGGTTATGTTCAGGTCATACTATTTAGAACCAATGTATGTGAACTAGAAGTGTGTCCACTAGCCTGATCCGCTCCACCAGTTAAAATAGCATTCAAGGTTAAAATAGCTCCCAAGCAACCTATGCTGGTTGTACCATGGGGTTCAAGGTTAAAATAGCATTCAAGGTTAAAATAGCTCCAAAGCAACATACGCTGGTTGTACCATGGGGTTCAAGGTTAAAATAGCATTCAAGGTTAAAATAGCTCCCCAGTAACCTGTGCTGGTTGTACCATGGGGTTCAAGGTTAAAATAGCATTCAAGGTTAAAATAGCTCCAAAGCAACCTGTGCAGGTTGTACCATGGGGTTCAAGGATAAAGTAGGTCCCCAGCAACCTATGCTGGTTGTACCATGGGGTTCAAGGTTAAAGTAGGTCCCCAGCAACCTATGCTAGTTGTACCATGGGGTTCAAGGATAAAGTAAGTCCCCAGCAACCTATGCTGGTTGTACCATGGGGTTCAAGGTTAAAGTAGGTCCCCAGCAACCTATGCTGGTTGTACCATGGGGTTCAAGGATAAAGTAGGTCCCCAGCAACCTGTGCTGGTTGTACCATGGGGTTCAAGGTTAAAGTAGGTCCCCAGCAACCTGTGCTGGTTGTACCATGGGGTTCAAGGTTAAAGTAGGTCCCAAGCAACCTGTGCTGGTTGTACCATGGGGTTCAAGGATAAAGTAGGTCCCCAGCAACCTATGCTGGTTGTACCATGGGGTTCAAGGTTAAAGTAGGTCCCCAGCAACCTATGCTGGTTGTACCATGGGGTTCAAGGTTAAAGTAGGTCCCCAGCAACCTATGCTGGTTGTACCATGGGGTTCAAGGTTAAAGTAGGTCCCCAGCAACCTATGCTGGTTGTACCATGGGGTTCAAGGATAAAGTAGGTCCCCAGCAACCTATGCTGGTTGTACCATGGGGTTCAAGGATAAAGTAGGTCCCCAGCAACCTATGCTGGTTGTACCATGGGGTTCAAGGTTAAAGTAGGTCCCCAGCAACCTATGCTGGTTGTACCATGGGGTTCAAGGTTAAAGTAGGTCCCCAGCAACCTATGCTGGTTGTACCATGGGGTTCAAGGATAAAGTAGGTCCCCAGCAACCTATGCTAGTTGTACCATGGGGTTCAAGGTTAAAGTAGGTCCCCAGCAACCTATGCTGGTTGTACCATGGGGTTCAAGGTTAAAGTAGGTCCCCAGCAACCTATGCTGGTTGTACCATGGGGTTCAAGGTTAAGTAGGTCCCCAGCAACCTATGCTGGTTGTACCATGGGGTTCAAGGATAAAGTAGGTCCCCAGCAACCTGTGCTGGTTGTACCATGGGGTTCAAGGTTAAGTAGGTCCCCAGCAACCTATGCTGGTTGTACCATGGGGTTCAAGGATAAAGTAGGTCCCCAGCAACCTGTGCTGGTTGTACCATGGGGTTCAAGGTTAAGTAGGTCCCCAGCAACCTGTGCTGGTTGTACCATGGGGTTCAAGGATAAAGTAGGTCCCCAGCAACCTGTGCTGGTTGTACCATGGGGTTCAAGGTTAAGTAGGTCCCCAGCAACCTGTGCTGGTTGTACCATGGGGTTCAAGGTTAAAGTAGGTCCCCAGCAACCTATGCTGGTTGTACCATGGGGTTCAAGGATAAAGTAGGTCCCCAGCAACCTATGCTGGTTGTACCATGGGGTTCAAGGATAAAGTAGGTCCCCAGCAACCTATGCTGGTTGTACCATGGGGTTCAAGGTTAAGTAGGTCCCCAGCAACCTATGCTGGTTGTACCATGGGGTTCAAGGTTAAAGTAGGTCCCCAGCAACCTATGCTGGTTGTACCATGGGGTTCAAGGTTAAAGTAGGTCCCCAGCAACCTATGCTGGTTGTACCATGGGGTTCAAGGTTAAAGTAGGTCCCCAGCAACCTATGCTGGTTGTACCATGGGGTTCAAGGATAAAGTAGGTCCCCAGCAACCTATGCTGGTTGTACCATGGGGTTCAAGGATAAAGTAGGTCCCCAGCAACCTATGCTGGTTGTACCATGGGGTTCAAGGTTAAAGTAGGTCCCCAGCAACCTATGCAAGTGGTAAGAGACAACTTAATGGATCCGGTGGTCAGGTTGTGTTACTTGGTTGATTGCATGTCATCATAGCCCAATCGGTTCCCATATATCAATCACGAGACTGTGTGGTTCAGACATGATTAGTTTACCAGCTGCCGTCATATAGCTGCAATATTGCAAAGTTTGGCATTAAACAAATAAAAAACATCTCACAGGCAAGTCCATCAAGAGTTTGTTATTGTATTGTGATCCTTTCTCACATAAACGCTGTTGTGGACAACTTTCATTGTAGTCCCAGTCTGTATGCTTTTCTTAGTGAATAGGACTTAGTTCAATATATAGTTCTAGCAGCTTGACATTCACTGCAGTAGACCTACTGGTAGGTATGGTTCATACATCTCAAACAGCGCTAGTTCTGTAGATCACCAAGTTTCAGTGTAGCTTTGGATTAACTTTGTAGTCCTCTATAAAAATATGTGTCTCATAATCTTTTGTTTCATAAATTTACATTTACAAAACATTTGTTCCCCCAACCTGCATCTTCAGTGGGGATGTGTATTATTTATGTGTATGCACAAGAAAATATGTTACTTCTGTTTAAATCCTGCCAAAATTTAAGATACATTTAGTCTTTGAAAGCATTTAAAGTGATACACCAGCATGTGCGATACACCATACAAATGATGCATTTATTCACCTGATGAAGGAGTAAGTATATACTCCGAAACGTGTTCCTCACAATAAAGAAGTTGACATCCATAAATTCTCTTCCTTAAAATATTTAAATACAATACCTTCATCACCTTGAGATGCACTTCGCTGCAGATTGTTAATATGGTCAATCTTGAAAGTGGACGCTATGTTTAGCATGGTTATAATACAGCCTGCTGTCCAGTATAGTCTATGTTTTTAACCTACTATATGACACTTAGATTCAGAATAATGCTTATGATTGTTGTTAACCTTGGACTTTAACCCATATAAACGTATAATCTTGCTTGGTTAAAAATACACTATTGACAGGGGGCTTTTAACAAGGACTCATTCAAGTGTATTAAAATACATCTAAGAATTACTCTGAATCTACCTCATAACGTAGTGTCTGTCCCTACTTTATCAGTTATTATTAAACACGTCTTTGTATGAATAAGACTGATAAAAAAAATGTTTGAGATACAAAGATAACCTTTCAGACCCTTTCCAAAATCATTAATATAGTTTCCATGATAGTAGTATGACATTTATGTAGTATTTCCCTGTAACATATGTTATATTAATCTCCATAGAAACCGCATTGTTACCATCATCATAGAGTGTGGTATTGTTTGGTGTATATACCTGTATATAACCTCTGTAGTGTGTGGTATATCATCATATTAACCTGTCTATATGTTGCTGATTGATATATATTTCATTCACATTGCATGCATTTCCTCAGTGCACATACAACAGCTATCAGGGCTTCCATTCTTCAGTATCCTTCACTTGAAGATTTTCATATAAAACTTAATTCACGTAATTCTCATGAAATAATTTTTAAATTGAATTGCATAAATGGAAATGTGAATCGTATGTAATTAAAACCTTTTTCCATTTTTTTTAAAAGTTCTTATTTGACTTTTCATTTGACTTCACATCATGAGTGGTGCTGTGGTGGGCTGATGTACATAGCATGAGTTGTATTGCAAGCACATCTTCACGGTTACTTGATTGTTGTACATTATATAAGAGATTTTATGTGTTTTTAAAATTACCTGTTCTTTTACCTATACTTATATTTTATATTATTTTTTAAATTTCATTGTTGTGTCAAAGTAGAAGTTTCATTTTGCATTTTAACATTATAGTATGTGTATGAGCCTGAGTTATTTTAAGTTTTATTGACTAATGTGCTGGATCAGAAGTAATTCTGTTGATTTATTAAAATCACATGACATGTAAACCGATATCAGAGATAGCGATATGTGTAAGAACTTTTCATTATTTAGAAATCTGTTATTCACTTTCTGTGTGAAAATAATTAATTCTTTGTGATTTGTTTGGGCAAATATTACATCAAATCTAAATTCCTTTTATTTATTTCAGAAAAGATCACTTTTGAAAGGGTTTTAAAAAATCTTTTTTTTTCATTTTCTGTAAAACAGTGTTTTAACTTCTAATAATGAACTATTCATTTAGGAATCATTTCGGAATTTCAAAAACCAAAGTCATTTTGAAACTGATTTATGTTATGTTATCTAATCGATAAAGGAACCATCCTCACTTTATTTCTGATCCATCATGCAGTTTGGTGTTCCAAGATGAATGTTGCTGTTGTTGATGTGGTGTTTTGTTTGCTGTATATGAACTAGCTATCTCCCGAGAGCTCGCCTCACAATCAGTCATTAAACGTGAGCGGAGAAGCCGACATTGATGGCGTACCTCGCAGGGGCCCACCCCCTATCCCTCCTAAACCGCGCCTACAACGCCCTAGTCCACGTCCAAGGGCGACAAAGAAGGTAACGGCTTGGGAACAGTTGCCTTCATGGGTCTTGTTCTGTCAATTTCTGATAGCTTGCACATTTACCTGTGGTTGGGTGCATGCTTGAAACAAATAGCAAATATCTGTTGAATCTTTTGGGTGACTGAAGGAATGTATGTATGTCTATGCACTGTGAAAAAGCAATTTTCTTTTTTTTCGATAGATATATTCTATTGTTACGGTTTGGTGTTTAAGTTATGATAAAATAATTATGAAACTTGTTTAACATGTTTAAATTTTTAATTTGTCATATAACCAATTTGCTTGAAATCACTTGCATCACTGTACATTTTTAAATTGAAAATTAAGAAGAATAAAACCATAATTATTCTGATAAAATATTTTGCAATCAGCGCTTCATTTTCATTGTGCATGAAAGGAGAAAAACAGTTTTACTCATTTCCAATGTATTTAATTTATTTTTTTAAAAATCGATATTTTTGATGCACTATTTAATTCTTTAATGATCCAATAATAACATTTTTATCATTATAGTCAATCTTAAGTACCAGTATGTATATTTAAACACAGACTACATAAAGTAATTTTGTTATTGCCATAGATTTACAATACCACTCAGTGCCTTCAGTCATAAAACCATGTGGGCAAAATGGCTTCGTGTTAAATCTAGGGTTATGATGTGGTGTAACTGAAAGTATCTCTGTTGTGAAAGATGTCAGATTCCGACAGGTACTGTCTTGAGCAAGTGTAGATGCATGCCGGACGTTGGAACTAACCTGCTTGTGGAGTACTACAGGGATATGGTCTCAGTCCTATGTCCTTTTATGTTGACACACTCACTGAACCTCATAGCATTGACTGGTGCAGTGATGTATATGACACTATTCATATTCACTCTGGCATTGGCATTTTACTTTTCTGTTGTTCGTTAAATTTTCTTCAGAATATTTATGAATTTCCTTCCTTTTTGCATTTTACTCCCTCTAATGTTTTGATTTCTATGATATTGTTTTTAAACCTTTAGTTTTATATTGACTTTTCCAGTTTTCTTGATAGACACCTATTCAGATTTCTGCATTTCTCTTATTCCATTTTATTTTTCAGTTTTTGTGTATAAATAATTGTGTATAAGTAATTATTGACGTAATACTGAAGTAAGACTGGACATCTTGCCTAGTTAAGTTTACAGGAACACCAAGGAAACACCTTGTGCTTTCATACCTTGAACTGTTTGTTCATGAGTATACCAGGCTTAGAAACTGACGTTATATGTTGCTGGAAATAGTAACATGCATAAAATTATTTAATAATGACAACATTGGTGTGTAATATACATTTTATTGATCATTTATAACAATAATGGCTGTAGTCGTAGCATACTTTCATAAAATGTATCCCTTACATGTATAGAATATTTTTTCAGGTCATCAAAATTCAATTTATCTACGGTCATATACGATAGGAGTTTAGATATTCACCATATACATTTGGGAAGGAGATCAGTTTCCATACCTGTAATATATGTAGAGATATGGGAAACACAGCAATTTACACCAAATCCACATGGTTGATGTGGGGTTTTGTTTGTCCAACATGTTGTCAAATCATAATCCCCACATATACCATTGCAATGGTGGAACAGGACAGTAGTCCTTTGCAAGTCTGTGCAGGATAAATCATATACTATGTTCTATTCAAAGAATGAATCGTGTCGGTCATAAGTAGGCCATAATACCCTACATTTCAAGTCCTACGCCCATGTGATACGTACAATGTTGGTACACCAGTAATTACTGTATGTACATAGGCTGTCCCTTCAATATATTGATGAGTTCAGCTGGTGACAAAGTACTAAGCTGATTTTCCGAGGCTCACATATTCCAGGGAATGTAGGAAGGATGTTGGGAGCCCGTGATAAAATTTATTGCTTCAAGGGAGCCTGCTAAAGGGTTTGAAGGCAATTAGTGTTGATGTTCATCTAGTCTTTAGTCCAGTGTTGGAGTAACAATGCATGCATTATGCTGTCGGAAGTCACGGTCTTTGTCCTTGGGAAGACGTTCAACATACGAGTCCAGTCACGGATCTTTGGTAAATTTGAATTACAGTTGAAATTTCCAGTGCTGTATACACCTGTGGTGGCGAGAACGAGTCAGGCATGACTTTAATAGTGTCACCTTCTGTTTTATGTGTAAAATGACCCACATTTGCAGGTTGGGATTACCAGGTTGATTAAGTCAAGTTAACGGATTGGCAAAACCTTTCTGTAGTTTAACATGATCGTTGTGAGTATGATTGGACATTACTGGTTCAAATGGTATGAGGTAGGTAAAGTTGTCAGCTGGGGAACGTTGTGAGCTGGGTAGCTCAAGGTGAAGGTCACAGTTGTTGGTGGAGTTGTTTTATAGCTACAACACTGTATGTAATTTTGTGTGGTTGAACTATCTGTCATTATGGCTGTTTACGAGGCACAGGTTATTGTTGAATATTGAATATATTTAACCTTTGATGTAAACACTCTGAATTTTGAAATTAGATTTTCTTTAAGGATTAATGTTGTGTAGAAAATTTAAATCAGTAGGAAAACAAAATGTGTGTTAGACTTTTTAAAATTGATTTGGTATTCTTTTAGCTCTTTTAAAATGAATTATCATTGTACCTTCATTTAGATTTAGTAAATTGTGGCAAATGCTGGATGTTTAATATATTTTCATGAGTATTCATGAACGAGTAGGTTATTGATTTCAATAACATGAAGTGTTCAACATAATGCCCAAGCTACCAGTACTGGGTCGGATAACCAGCTGTTCGTTATCAATATTGTTTTGCTAATGACACAGCATTCTAATTATGCGACATGTCTCATTTTGCCTGAATATGTGGCTGCAGTACATCGTTTCACCACCACACATAATGACATGTCAAACAGGGTCACAGGAGATTTGTTCTTTTACGATCTGACATAGATGCCTGTACTCGAGACAACGTTAATTTGATTACTTAATGTTTGTTAGGAATTCTAGTTTGTCGTCTTTGGTTTATTTGCAAATTTTTTCTGTTCTCTCCTTGCTTGATGAGGGGTGGCGCCGCAATTTGCAGTGCAGAGTTGTGTCCCTTGGGCATGCCAGAAACCTATGGTTGTGGGTTTGAATTCCAGTTCGCCCCGATTATGTTTCTAGGTTTGTCAGCACCATACTTTAGCTCATGGGTTTCACCAAAGTGGTAAACGTCTGAGAATTGCATCACTTCAGGCTTTCCTCCCACATTAAGCTGACTATCCGTAATATGGCTGGAATACTGTTGAAAGTGGTGTTAAACCTGGCTTACTCATTCATTGTTGATGAACAATGTTTAAAGATTTAAACAAATTTCAAAGATAGAACAGAGTTCCTTTTTTTTTTTGGCAAAAAAATTTCTGTAAGTGTTCTGTGATTTGATGACAAAACCTTTCCCAGAAGCTTCAACAGACAATTTTGCAACATCCTTGAGTTTATGGGACATCTACAAGTCACATTTTCAGGGCAATTATTTTTTTATGCCTTTGGATTTATCTGGTCTCAGTATGAATAATATCACTGAAATTGTGACAAAATACAGTAAGATAAGAATCAGCTCATGTTGAGATGTCCTTAAGTGTCCAACAGAACTTTACATAACCAGTAGACCTGTGAAGATCCGTGGTAGAATAGGTCTTCAGCAACACATGCTTGCGTTAAATGTGACTATGCTGGTCGTAAGAGGCGACTAACAGGATCGGGTGGTCAGGCTCGCTGACTTGGTTAAGGCATGTCATCGATCCCAATTGCTTGGATTGATGCTCATGATATCAATCACTGGATTGTCTGGTCCAGACTCGATTGTTTACAGCCAGCTGTCATATACTGTAATATTGCTGAATGCAGCGTTAAACAACCAACCAACTACATGACCAGTAGGTGTGGTGTTTTCTTTTTGTGAGAGCAAGAAATTGCATTCAAACTGAACAACTACATAAGCTGTGTCAGAGGAACCTGTGGCCTAGTGATTGAAGCTATTTGCTTGGCAGAGTTATTTCCCATTTTTGTGCCAGAATCTGCTGACCATGGGGTTTGAATCTTATATTTGTCCTAATTATGATTCTTGGGTCAACCCACTTGTAGGTTTTAGCAAAGTGTTACAGATCTAAGACTTGTATGTCCTTGGACTTTTTTACAGCAATAATGAGGTGTGATATATGGTGTAGGGTCCCACCACTGTATATCCTTGGGTGGGGCAGGGGTGGCTGGGTGTTTTGTTAGAGACAGTCACTGCTAAACAGACAATTTATTCTGTGAAAAGAAGAGACGGGTATTGTTTCATGACATCCAGGGACCGCCTCTGTGATCTTGTGGTAGAGCGTCCGCACAGAGAACGGAAGGTCTGGGTTGAGATCCCCGGCTGCATCATACCAAAAGACGGTACATGTTGTTACCCTGTCTGGCGCTCGGCATTAAGGGGCTAAAACAAAGACTTGTCGGCTCGGAGTCAGTATACTGTGTCTGAGTGGGGTATTCATGTTATACTGCAGCATGGTATCTCTGTGAGCTAGCACTATAAATCGGCATCAATCCGGACTAGTACAAGCAGACACACACACACACACACACACACACACACACACACACACACACACACACACACCACACACACACACCACACACACACACACACCACACACACGTGCATTGCTATATAAGTGCAATAATCTTAGACCCCATTTCACCTCACCACCATGACGTCCAGGATGCCCAGAAAATAAATGTTGTTGTTTCTGTAAAACCTGAAGACAAATTATGATGTGACTTCAAGTACTTGAGGTGTTTAGCCCTACAACAATGAACACTGTCATGTGAGTAATATAGATTACACGATAACATCGCTGATTCATTAGAGAGCATGTCCGTCACATGGTGTATCTAAATTGTAGGGTCTTTTCAACGCAGTGTGTACAAATTCATAGATGTAACAATCCAAGTTGGGAAACAAAAGTGACAACAGGTC